CCGTGTCCAGTGTGAAAAGACCGGACACCGGGTCCCCTGGGATGTGGACAGGGGGGCACCAGTGACGGCCTCGGTACAGACGGCGTACCGCTCGTGTCCAGGGTACGTAATGGTGACGCCAAGGTCCTGAAGGCAGCCGACACTAACTAGGTTCCTGGAGAACGAGCGGATGTGCAGTCCTGTGAGCGAGCCCGAAGGAAGCGCCGGGCAGGGGAGGGTGGTGGAACTACGGGCAACGACAGGGCCGGAGGAGGGGTCAGCAAGAGAGACTGCGGCAGGGACAGGGAGCTGTGTCAACGTGGTAGAGTCGCGGAAGAAGCACCGGGAAGTGCCAGAGTCGAGGGTGAAGGAGAGCGCAGCAGTGGTGGCCAGAGGCGAAGCAGCGACGGAAGCACCAAGACTAAACAAAGTAGGGGATCCTACGCATGACGCAGCAGGGGAGTCTAAGCAAGGCACACCTACACTAGGCAACAAGGGGGTAATAAGACGGAAGCACACTAGAGTCATCAGCATACATCACATGCAGAGCAGTAACAATGTCATCCATATCCAGATCAAAAATCTGAACCCTACGACGAAGCAAGTTGTGCCAGTCTGGGAGCTCGGGCGACGGGCCGAAGCGCTAATGAAACAGGTCGTCCAAGCGACGGAAACAGCGGTCGGAGGTGTGGCCGATCTTACTGCAAACAAAGCCACGGCGAGGACTGGTCTGGAGCAGGTACTGACAGCGCGCGGGACCCGAACCACCACCCGGCAGCCCACCACGCGTACCACCACCATGTCCAGCGCTACCACCAGCGCCAGGCCACCCGGGCGGGAGACCATTCGCCCGTCTCGGCGAAAACACCGGCGCCTGCTGAGACTGCTGCTCGGCAGCACCTGTCAAGGTCCCCTCGTCCACACCACCACCAGGGGACCCAGCTCCCGCACCACCTACTCCTGCACCCCCAACCCCGCCGCCACGCCCCGCCTTGGGGCGGCGACCCTTCCCCGGACGGACCTGTGCTGCAGCAGCAGTCTCAGCCACAGCAGCAGAGCCGTCGGAGAAGGTGCACTGAGCGGGGGCGCAACCCTGAAAGATAGGGACCGGCACAGTACCGCTGGTCTGGGCGATAGAGCAGTGGCGGGCCTCTATAACGGACAGGGTGTCAACAAAGTCAGTGAGGGTGAGGTCTGCAGGGTGGACGCTAAGGAAGCGGTCGCGAGTAGTGGCAAGGCGGTCAGGAAGGCGGGTGGCCAGCAGGTAGAGAGCAGAGAAGAGGGTCGGCTGGTGAGCGCGAAGCTGTGTGTCAGTGCAGGCAGCGCGCCAGGTCTCGTCTATAGTGCGCAGGTGGGCGGCCAGGTCAGCGACAGTGGGGAACGACGCAAGGTCAGGGAAGAGCATGGGGAGGATCAGGCGACCTACCGAGGCAGCAGGCAGGGTGGAATAGCGCTGGACAACAGCATCTAGAAAAGCCTGGGCAGTGTTGATAGACCTGAAGTGTGGTCGCTCGGACAGGGGGAGGGCATTACTAATAGCAAGTTGTGCGACAACGTTACGGGACAGCCAGACAGAGCGAGCAAGGGCAGTGGCCGCAGCGGACTCACGCTCAGCGGACGAGGGGTCAGGAGACAGTGCAGCGGGGGGGTCAGGGCAGGGGAGGGTACCGTAAAGATGGACAAACAGAGAGTGGCCATCCTGCCGCTGACCAGTGAGGTGGCGACGGAGGTCAGCAAGCCCCGCATTAAACTCAATCGGCTGGCCCTCAGCGTCAAAGCGAAGCACCCCCGCCATCAGTGACAATAGAGGGCAGTACGGTGCGGTGCAGTACGGCACGGGTAGTGCAGTGCGGTGCAGGACGGTGCAGGACGGTGCAGTGCGGTACAGTGGGGTGCAGTGCGGTGTAGTGCGGCACAGTGCGGTGTAGTGCGGTGCAGTGCGATTGAGTACGATACCGGGGGGGGAAGGTTCGCAGGGCGTTGCTGATCGGGAAGAACGGGCCGAACCCGAAGCGGCGGCGGGCTGGCGACGCCGCGAATGCAGGAGCCGCCGGCGGACGGCAGACGCGAGGGGCCAGCAAACAGCGACAAAGGGGGCCGGCGAGGAGCTGGCGCGGCGGCGAGTAGGGCCGGCCAAGACGGCGAGGAGACATGGCCGCGACGGCGGCCAGGGACACCGCGACAGCGGCTAGGGGCTGCCGCGACGGCAGGAGTGACGGCCGGCTAGGGGCGGACGCGACGGCCAGGGGGCCGGCTAGGGACGAGCGCGACAGCCAGGGGGCCAGGTAGGGACGAGCGCGACGGCCAAGGGACCGGCTAGGGGCGGACGCGACGGCCAGGGGGCCGGCTAGGGATGAGCGCGACGGCAAGGGGGCCGGTTAGGGCCAGACACGACGGCTAGGGGGCTGGCTAGGGACGAGCGCGATGGCCAGGGGGCCGGCAAGGGACGAGCGTGGCGGCCAGGGGGCCGGCTAGGGGCGGACGCAACGGCTAGGGGGCCGATTAGGGACGAGCTCGACGGCCAAGGGGCCGGCTAGGGGCAGACGCGACGGCCAGGGGGCCGGCTAGGGACGGGCGCGACGGCCAGGGGGCCGGCTAGGGGTGGACGCGACGGCCAGGGGTCCGGCTAGGGACGAGCGCGACGGCCAAGGGGCCGGCTAGGGACGAGCGCGGCGGCCAGGGGGTCGGCTAGGGGCGGACGCGACGGCCAGGGGGCTGGCTAGGGATGAGCGCGATGGCCAGGGGGCCGGCTAGGGACGAGCGCGATGGCCAGGGGGCCGGCTAGGGACGAGCGCGGCGACCAAGTGGCCGGCTAGGGACGAGCGCGGCGACCAAGTGGCCGGCTAGGGACGGGCGCGACGGCCAAGGGGCCAGCTAGGGACGGACGCGACGGCCTGGGGGCCGGCTAGGGGCGGACGCGACGGCCAAGGGGCCGGCTAGGGGCGGACGGGACGGCCAGGGGGCCGGCTAGGGACGAGCGCGACGGCCAGGAGGGCCGGCTAGGAGCGGGGCACGACGGTGGCTAGGGCCTAGGGGGCGGAAGCGTGAGCGGGCTAGGGGGGAACCTAACATACTATGATACCATATCAGAAACAATAATTGAACTAGAATGTGTGAGTACAAGGGTATAGACTAGGGTGTTGTACCCTATAAGGCACAATCCTGTATAGTCTACAGTAACGACCTAAGTTACATTTGACAAGGGCGACCTTGCCCTTCTGCTCTCGACCTGTTGCTGTGCAGTGGCAAGGTCAACCAAGTTGAGCTTGGTGGGCCACGCGCCAGCGAGCAGCATGCGACGCTCGTTGCGGATGGCACGTCACATGCTGACGCCAGCGCGCAGAAGGCGCCGAACGGCAAGGCGGGCCGCGCGCGTCAGAACAAGCAAGGCCGCGGGGCGCTTCGTCCAGCGCGCCAACACCTGCCGCCCCTGCTTTGACCAACGAGCAAGTGGCGGCACTGCTGACGCTGTTACAGCAAAACACACCCGCGGTTACAGCAGCTACGACTACCATTTCTACCTCGACTAAAATTGAAGATGCAAAAAAGGAGTCGTCGCGTCACGCTCGTCCTTCCAAGACCGCCCGCTCCGAGAAGGAGCTAGCCGCTGCCACGCAAGACAATGCCAAGGAAGACAGTGACTCCGACGACAAGGCTGGTGAGGCTCATACACACACAATTTTTTTCGCACCCACCGAGCAGCTCCCACCTCTTCCTTTCTCCAACCCAACCATCCCGGCATCACCGTTCAACAACGCTGGGGTACGCGAGCAAGCCGAGTTCCTAGAAGACCTGCGAGCGTACCTGAAGCACGCGGAGCACAAGGTGCGCCACGGCGACACATCGAGCTCACTCGAATACTTCGAGGCGGCATACGCGCTCATCGCCAAGCGCTTCGAGCTCCTCCAAGTCGCCGACGCCTCCGACTTCAAGACGGCACACCGCTTCAAGCTCTACCAAGAGAAGAGTATCCTCACCTCACGCCCCTTCAAGCAAGCAGTTGCAGATGTTGCGGCAATGAAATACGCGCAAGGCTCCTATGGCCGTGGCCATCCCGTTAGAGGCCGCGGCCCTATGGGCCTTGGAGGGAAGTTTGACCCTCCACCGAGCGGCGCCCAGAGGGGCTTCCGAGGCACTTGCTTTCGCTGTGGCCAGCCGGTCCACACGGCGAACAACTGCACTGGGAATGGGAGCGGGTCACAAGGGCCCGCACCCGTTGTGTGAAAAGAAAATGAGGATTTGTTTTGTGGACTTCGGAGTAGGTGCCACTGCACCATGGGGTTCTTAGGGCTGCTGGCCATTCCTTCGCTGGGAATTATAATGCAAAGGCCGCTGGCCAAACCTGATAGAGGGTATGAGTATAGGCCATGGGCCAAGCCCCAAGGGGGGAGAAAACAGTTTTTTGACCTACCTCGGTAGTGGCACCCCTGGAGGTGCCGGTTCTTTTCGTATCATCATCTTTTAAAAGATAGAATCACTGTTGGATAGTGGCCAAGGCCCGAGACCCGAAGCTCATGGGCCAAGCTTTTCAATTCTTGTTGATCTCATTTCTTAAAATATTATTGAGAACCCCAATCTGAAAGAAGGCCTCACAATGCCTTGAGGCCTCACAAGGCAGCTCCGTTTTTTTAGCCTAGGAACCTATATTGGGTGCCCTTGCCATCCAAGCCTAACCTAGAAGGCACGGCAAAAAAAAAAAAAAAAAACAAGAGGCGACGAGATCGTCTTAGGGTTGCGGAGCATTTCATGATGAGACTTTATTATACATAAAATGTTTTGTTTCCATCACAAAAGACATTTGATTTTTATTTCACAAACTTGAAAAAAAAAAAAAAAAAACCAGCCCGATCGATTGCAACAGGTTGCTCCGCAACCCAAAAAAAGGGTGCGGCCACATCAAGGCATACGAAGCCAAACACTTTGTTGGGCCTCCAATGTCTAGTGCGAGGTACATAACTAGCCTTGGCTTCCGTCCCATCACATGCTCTTTGACAAGCCATTGGAGGGATTTGGCTTACTGGAACATGCGATGCTTCGCAAAAGAAAGATGTTGCAAGTGAGAAAGAGAGAGAGAGAGAGAGAGAGAGAGAGAGAGAGAGAGAGAGAGAGAGAGAGAGAGGTAGAGAGAGATGGAGAGAGAAAGGGGAGAGAGAGAGAGAGAGAGAGAGAGAGAGAGAGAGAGAGAGAGAGAGAGAGAGAGAGAGAGCGAGAGAGAGAGAGAGGGAGAGAGAGAGAGAGAGAGAGAAAGAGAGAGCGAGAGAGAGAGAGAGAGAGAGGGGGGGGAGAGAGAGAGAGAGAGCGAGAGAGAGAGAGAGAGAGCGAGAGAGAGAGTGAGAGAGAAAGAGAGGGAGAGAGAGAGAGAGAGAGAGAGAGAGAGAGAGAGAGAGGGAGAGAGAGAGGGGGAGAGAGAGAGAGAGAGAGAGAGAGAGAGAGAGAGAGAGAGAGAGAGAGAGAGAGAGAGAGAGAGAGAGAGAGAGAGAAAGAGTGAGAGAGCCCGAACGTGAGAAAGCAACATTGAAAGTGCATGCGCGGTGGCACAGCATGCGACCGGCTGCCGGGCCAGATACACATTGCCCTAGTCCCTTAAATTCACATCGTATCAGGCACTAGCCTTCATGGATACACCCCTGGCTTCCAAAAAAAAAAAAAAAAGTTAAGTGTATGCTCACTATCCCATTTGGTGGACTTCACGCTCACTCTGCCCCGTATTTGCGAACCTTACCCCATTCTTTTGTTGGATTCCATTTGCAGAACTACTCACGCATGACCTTACGGGGCTTGGTGATCCCTTCGAATACGCAGTGAGGGACCGGACGGTCTCAACCATGCGCGGGCGCCTGCGAGACGCACTACCCTGGTGGCGTTTGTGGTGCACCAGTAGCTTGATCATATTAGTCATTGACAGAGGCTACTGGATGCCTTGAAAACAAGGTCCCCCACAACTTTTCCGGAGCACCAATCAGCGGGGGCCCAAATTCACGAGGCATTTACAAAGTCCACCATCATGGATCTCCTCCAAACCGGCACCGCAGCAAAGGTGCCAGAATCAACGCTCACATGCGTCAGCCCTCTCAACGTTATGGAACAGCGCGACAAATGTCGTCTCATCCTCGATCTTCGCAAGGTCAACCAGGAGCTGCAAATTCCCAAATTCAAGTACGAGGGACTCAATCGCGTCGCAGAGTTGGCGCGTGCAGGCGATTGGATGTTTTCAATCGACCTGAAGTCTGGCTATCACCACGTCGACATTCACCCGTCGTGTTGGAAATTCCTGGGTTTTCAATTTAGCGGGCACTCATACTGTTTCCGCTCCCTTCCGTTCGGACTGGCTACAGCAGCGTTCATCTTCACGCAGTTGATCAAGCTGCTCGCGCGCCGCTGGAGAACAATGGGAATGCGTGTCATACCGTATGTGGACGATATCCTCTTCCTTTGTCATTCGTAAGACAATGCCTGGAAAACTTGCATCCACATTATTGGTGATCTTTGCAAGGCGGTCCTCATGATCAACGCCAAGAAATCCCACCTTCAACCAACCCAGCGCTTACGTTTCCTGAGCTTGGAACTCGATACCGAAGTCGGCCAATTCTCTGTGGGTCCGGAACGGCGTGGCACACTGCAGGCTGCTATCCAGTCGCTCCTGGAAGCCGGACGCAGCCGGTCCAAGGTCCCCATCCGGCACGTCGCGCGGGTTACTGGTATGCTTGCTTCGATGGCTCTTGCACTTGGAGCCATTGCTAGGGCATTTAGCCACGCCCTGCTGCAGACCATCAACGGCTCTCCCTCCTATAATAGCAGAGTATCGCTCTCACCTATCGCCCGCGAGGAGTTGGAATTCTGGTCAACCGAGTTTGACCACTTCAACAGTGCCCCATTTCATGTGCGCTGTAGCTACGACGCTGTAATTCACGTCGACGCGAGCAGCCATGGCTTGGGGGCTACTCTCAACACGTTCTTTGGCAACCTTTGGTTTATCCTGTAATTATCATTATATCACCGACCAGGCTCGGGATGCACCGGTTCGCTATATCTGGCGTAATCCTGCCGTAATCCCTTAAAGCCAATAGCCTCACATGGCTATACGCAGGGTGATTCTATTTTCTAGAAGGGTCTATTCCCTTGGGATAAGATAAACCTGGTTACCTGATGTACTTTGGAAGTATAAAAGCGCCTTGTATCAATCGATAGTGCAACCTTTCCTCAAGACAATCGATCCTGTGACACTTGGTAATCAGAGCTTTTATCACTCGGCCGCACTCAGCTAAGCAGCAGCAGCGGGGGATCCTGCCTCGAAAAACCGCCGGGGGTGACCAATTCGACGCCGATTCTTGTAAGCACCAGCTCCGCCTTTTTTCGAATTACCCCCTCCGCGCGTGTTTTGAACAGGATGGCGAACTTCGACAACGCCGAAGTTACCCAGCAGCTCTTCGCGCGCATCGCAGCCCTACAGGAGGAGATGCGAGCCGACCGCGAAGCTTGGCGAAACGAGTTTGAGCGAGTAACTCGACTCGCCGGCGCGCAACGCGAAACGACAACGGTGACGACGCAGCAGTCGCAGTAGTTTCTCAAGGCTCCGAAACCGCGCCCACCTGAGCCGTTCGATCTGAGCGATCGAAATTCCGACGTCCGCAGATGGATCGCCGGCATGGAGATCTACTTCGCAGCCGTCGGATGGAGCTCGCCAGTCTGGGACGGTCAACGCGTACGACTCGTGGCGACACTGATGCGAGGGCCGGCACTCGAGTGGATCGGCGGTAATAGCACCTTCATCCACGGTGAAGCCACGTGGCAGCAGTTCCGCACCGACCTGCTGAAACGTTTCGAGCCGATAAATTCGGGTTTCCTTGCCCGGGAAAAAATTCATCGCCATCGACAGTTTGGGAGTGTAGCGCAGTACACACAGCAGATGGAGGAATTTTATAACCGCATTCCCGACCTGACCGAAGGGGAAAAGGTACAATCGTACCTCGCCGGGCTGAAGATCGAATTCAAACGACAAGTGGCAGCGACAAATTACGGGAGCTACAGTGACGTCGTATCGGCCGTGGAACACTTCGATATGGTCAACGCCGGGACACGACGAGCGCACGTCGGCAGTACGCGGCAGGGCGACCGCTCAGCTCACACCACGTTCGCTGACCCGATGGAAGTCGATTGGTTCGAAGGACGGCCACGTCCAAAAAACACCAACTACACGTGTGATTTTTGCGGGGTGCCGAGTCATCGAATCTTCGACTGCAACAAAATGAAAGCTGCACGTGCTGAGTATCGGGCACGCAACAGTGGCGGAAATCCTTCGGCCAATTAGAAGCAAAAAAACGGGACTCGCCAGTGATTGCGGATCTAGCTGGAGGAAAAGAAAGGATCCGAAATCGGCCGCGGACTTCCGGAAAAATCAACTTCGACGCAGCTAATTCGACGCGAACAGGAGAAAATGATGGGGAAAAATCTCCACCCCACGACCAGTCTTTGCCAGAGGAAATCGCCGAGGAAAAATTTAACTACACGAAAAAGGACTCTGCCAAGACGGGGAAACTCCTTGAAGACCTAAGAAATTTTAAGGATTCGTTAAAGTTATCTTACAAAGATGCCTTAATGAAAACTTGTAATTCTCGAGGGGCTAGAGCCTTGGAGAAATTTCGGGAGGGACTCCAGAAGAAGCAGAAATTTGTGGAGATCGTACTGGTACCGGAGAACTTGGGGACCAAATTAAGGAGTGTGGAAAAAAGCCGACCTTTCCACAGAGTCAACGTCCTCTCCCGACACCAGCCCACAGCGACTATCCGTTCCCCAGGGAAGACGTCGGTGGAGCTGAAGCAACTCACAAGGAAGCTGGGGGTCTACAACTAGCTACAAAAACCCCGAACTCCTTCTTCGGATGCATCCAGCTCGGCAACTTCGTCAACGACACGAACAGTCGTCACGGAAACTCCGGGCCCTGGAGAAGAACCTTTCTCCAAGCAGCCTCGGCCAGCTGCCAGCTCAAGAGTAGGAAGCAACGAATATTGGGATGTACCCTATGACCCAATCAATGAAACTATCTTTGGGTACTCCGAGCAACGCCTGCCCCTCGTGCTCGAGGTCATATGCAAAGGACGACGCCTCCAAGCACTCGTGGACAGCGGAGCATCACACACTGTATGCGACAAGGTAACCATCGACTGACTTCCAGAAGAGTACAAGCCATCAGCGTTTTCTGCAACGATGGTGGACGGCAGCAAGTTAGCAGTGTACGGCGAAGCAATGCTACACCTACAAATCGGTCCACTGCGCTGGAAACCTGCTCTCCCCATCACCAACATAGAAGGGCTTGACCTGATCTTTGGGCGAGACTTCCTCAAGAAATTCAACCTCGAGATCAACTGGGTAAACCGCACCGCAAGCATCTACAACAAAGGAAGGAGAGTCCGGCTACCCAACTGGGATGATATAGGAGATATCCCATGGGAGACTCTTGCCAGATTCAAGAAGGACGTGAAATGAACCAGCACCGGGTTTTTGGCGATAGCAACAGAGGTGGAGAATGACGGAGAGAAAGCCTCGGAACCTCCAGAAAAAATCAAGGACTTACTGAAGGAGTTCCAAGACATTCTTCCCGACGACCTCCCGGACGAACTACCGCCATACTGAATGCACCAACACGAGATCGTGGAGGAACCAGGTTCGAAACCGACCTTCCGAGCACCATATCGGCTAAGCCCCATAGAACTAGCCGACATGAAGAAGCAGATCGAGTATCTCATCGCCAAAGGACTCATCCGACCATCCACTTCGCCATACGGTGCCCCAGTACTCTTCACACCGCAACCGGACGGAAGCTTGCGCATGTGCATCGACTACCGAGCTCTCAACAAGCAGACCATCAAGAACAAATACCCGATACCACGAATCGATGACCTGCTTGACCAGCTTCGGGGAGCTACGGCATTTTCAAAACTAGATTTGCGGTCTGGATACTGGCAGATAAGAATGGCGGACGATTCCGTTCACAAAACTGCCTTCCGAACTCGGTACGGATCGTACAAGTATTTGGTCATGCCGTTTGGACTCACGAACGCACCTGCAACTTTCCAAGCAGAGATGAATCATATCCTACGCCCACTCTTGGACGAATGCGTGGTGGTGTACCTGGACGATACCTCATCTACTTGCGCGGCATACAACACCACGTCGAGCACCTACGACGCGTCTTCGAAATTATTCGACAAGAACGCTTCTACGTCAAGCTATCCAGAGCGACTTCGCCCTCGAGAAGGTCCAATTCCTCTGACATATCGTAAGCGCTCAAGGAGTTCACGTCGACCCCAAGAAAATCGAAGCCGTGCGTACGTGGAAGACACCCGAGAATGTGAAGGAGTTACAGCAGTTCCTTGGCTTTGCTAACTACTACAACAGGTTCGTGCCACAATACGCGAAGATCGCCACGCCACTCACGAATCTGCTAAAGAAGAACACGCCCTATAAATGGGAGCTACAACACCAGGAAGCAGTGGAGCAGCTGAAACAAGCACTCACGTCCGCACCCGTACTCATCTTGCCAGACCCTGAACGTGACTACGTCATCGAAGCTGACGCCAGCGAGGAAGTGGGAGCAGTCTTGATGCAAAACCAGGGGAATGGCCTGCAACCAATTGCCTTCCAAAGGAAAAAATTACATGGAGCAGAACTCAACTACCCAAAACGTGGAGATGTTATCTTGAAGGATGCAAGACGACAGTACACACCGACCATTGCAGCCTAAAATATTTGAAGACGCAACCAAGCCTCTCCAGGCGGCAGGTCCGGTGGATTGACTTCCTCGAGACACACTTCCACTACGACATCGTGTACAAGCCCGGCCACAAAAACAAAGCAGACGCGCTTAGCCGGCCTGCACACGTTGCCGCTATCCAAGTTGAAGGGATGAATCCACTCCTCAAGGGACTCTTCACACACGGGTATACCATCGACCCCGAAATTCCCTTGGCAGAAAAGCAACATCTGCTACAGTGGGACAACGACATCGCGTACCGGAAAGGATCAATGAAGATATGGGTACCTAGTTACCCTCCATTGCGCCAGTAACTACTCGAAGAATACCACGACGTCCTGTACGCGGGACACTTTGGTGGCAACAAGACGCTCACCGGTATCGCCAAACACTACTACTGGCCCCACATGGCAGATGACGTACAGAAATTCGTCACCTCGTGCACTACATGTCAGCGGATGAAGATCAGCAAGCCGAAAAAGGCGGGTTTGCTACAGCCTCTTCCTGTCCCAGAACAGCCATGGCAAGTGGTAAGCCTAGACTTCATCACCGGGCTACCAACTACCACAAGCGGTCATGACGCGATCCTCGTCATCATTGACAACTTCTCCAAAATGGGACACTTCATCCCGACACACACCACAGCACGCACCGAGGAGACAGCACAACTCTTTGTTCGCTACATCATCTCACAACATGGCATTCCGACCACACTCATCTCTGACCGAGACCCTAAGTTCACTAGTAAATTCTGGAAAGAACTGATGTCTCTACTCGGGACCGAACTCGCCATGTCATCCGCCTACCATCCGCAGACAGATGGACAGACCGAGCGCCTCAACCAAATTGTGGAGCAACTCCTCCGCACAGCCTGCAAGGACGACATCTCCAAATGGGACTTGCATGTGCCCATCCTGGAGTTTGCCTACAACAATGCTACTCACGCCGCTACTGGACAGACACCGTTCTTCCTCTGCTACGGACATCACCCACTCACACCTCAACAGCCAACCATACCAGCCACAGTCCAACCCGCTCATGATTTCATCACGACCATGTACAAACTTTGGGATCGGACCCACAAGCGCCTTCTCGACATTCAGCAACAACAGAAGCGCCAAGCCGATCGCCACCGCACAGACCACACCATCACCGTGGGAGACCGAGTACTACTCGACACACGCAATCTTGACATCAGCGATCTCCCATCCAAATTGCGACCTCGCTTCTGCGGGCCTTTTCTCGTTGAAGCACAGGTCACTCCTGTTACCTTCCGCTTACGCCTGCCCGCTACTTGGAAGATTCACAACGCCTTCCATGTCCAACTCTTGAAGCCCTACCGAGATCCTACCACGGTCTTCTCTGGACGCCAACCGCCGCCGCCGCCGCCGCCCGTCCTCGTCCATGATGAACCCGAGTATGAGGTCGAGTCCGTGCTTGCTCACCGCCGTCGATGGAATGGCACCATGGAGCTTCTCATCTGTTGGAAGGGTTATGATCCTTCAGAGGATAGTTGGGTCTCTGAATCCGAGATGGATCACGCTCGTCGTCCTCTTCACGACTACCTTGTCAAGCAGGGTATTACGTCTACCACCCAGCTTTGAGGGGGGGAAGTGTGAGAGTACGACCCCGTTCCATTCCTTTCTCCCTTCCATTTTATTCCTCTTTTTATTCTGATTCATTTGGTCCTTATCTCATCCCATTTAGATTCCTATTTCTTCTTTTCCATAAACCTTTGGTTTATCCTGTTATTTTCATTATATCACCGACCAGGCTCGGGATGTACTAGTACGCTATATCTTGCGTAATCCTGCCGTAATCCCTTAAAGCCAATAGCCTCGTATGGCTATACGCAGGGTGATTCTATTTTCTAGAAGGGTCTATTTCCTTGGGATAAGATAAACCTGGTTTGTATAAAAGCGCCTTGTATCAATCGATAGTGCAACATTTCCTCGAGACATTCGATTCTGTGACAATCACCTGCAAGGAGATCATTCGCACGTGTACGACCCACCGAGTTTGCCTCATGATGGAGTGGATCCCTCGCAAACTCAACACGCATGCGGACGAGCTCTCCAAGATACTCGATCACGATGACTACACGATGAAAACGACGTGGTTCAACATCCTTGATTGGCGCTGGGGTCCCCATTCCATTGATCTCTTCGCCAATGCTAGCAACGCCAAGCTGCGTTGTTTCTGTTTCGAAAACCCGCACCCCGCGGCTATGGCGATCAACGCTTTCACGATCTCTTGGTCCGCAGAACACGGCTTGGCCTTCCCCCCACCTCAATTGATCCTCGCCGTCCTCCACCATGTGCAACGTACACACGTGTTTCTCACCCTGGTACTTCCCCACTGGCCCGGCGCCAGCTGGTGGCCACTCCTCCAACCCTCACCGCCACCCTGGGCTAGCCCCATCAAATCCCACATCCGACTCACGCACAGAAGCCAATGCTTAGCCCCAGGCACACACACTAGTGCCTTCTCCGGCTCTGGTCTACCTGATAGCCTCATGCTCGCTCTGCAAGTCGCGTTTCCCTAATGTTTGCCCCCCCACCAATATCGCAAACAGATCTAATCCCAACCCTGCAACGCGAGCTGCTCTCGGTCATGGCACAAACGCGCGCACACTCTACAATTCGAACTTACAAACCTTACTGGCAGCAGTTTTGTTCCTTCTGCATCAAGGTCAACCTTCCCTTCCTGCCAACCGCGGACATGACACTCGCCTTGTACCTTGTCTATGCAATTCGAAACACGGCCACTCTCTCAGTGATACAACTCACATGCTCAGCCGTCAGCTTCGCTCGCCGCATGATTGGGGCATCCTTCCCGAGCACTGGCCCCTTCACGTCACAAGTTTGAGAATTCGCCAAGCGACAGTGTCCCCGGCCCAATCGGACCAACGAACCGGTCTCTTTAGATCAAGTGCACGAGATGGCTACTCACTTCATCGGTGCCAACGACCCTGCCACATTCCAGAAAGGTCTCATTCCCCTTCTCATGTACGTCGGATTTTTGTGTTACTCCGATCTCGTGGCCATCAACTGGGAGAATATCCAGTTTGAGGATGACGTGATGTACTGTAGCTACTCATCCCGCGCTCCAAAACGGACCAGGCACGTCAGGGCTCATGGGTTCCTGTTGCTGCCGTCCCAGGACCCCTCTGCCCTGTCCGATGCACCAAATGCTTCATCCGGTTGGCAGGCTATGAACCCACCACTCCCGGACCCTTAATCCGGGTGTTCGGCGTGGCCACAGGTGGCGTCCCTACCAGCAAGCCACCATCATACACCACCATACGTAACTGGTGCAAGGAGGCTTTCCAGTCCATCGACCTGGGTGAGCATCACCTCGGCACCCACTCCTTTCGCAAAGGTGCTGCGACCGTCGCTGCCTACGGAGGCGTAGCGGACCGGCTCTTCAAACGTCTTGGCCGATGGCGCAGCGACACGGCCAAAGAAATGTACGTCACACCCGCCGTCGACCAACTGGTTGCGGCTTCCCGCAACGTACAGACCCTCGGGTCGGCACCATCACCAGCACAACATTCTCGAGCTCTTGCACGCCACTAACAACCATCTCCCTCCATGTCTCAGGTCAACCCAGTGGAATGAGAACGATGCCATTTGCACTACAAGTAGCAAGCTTTCTCAATATGTAAATTTTTAAAGTGTTCACACTTTCAAAATTGCGTATTGTGAATGCGAAGCTGCTTGTAACGCAATCTCAGGCATCGTCGAAGCGCGCTATTCGCCCTTCTCCAACCATATAATGGGGTTGGAGGTCATTCTTCCTCCACCCACGTTTTTCATTTTTCCCAGCTCAAGTTCAATTCCCGCCCACCCTACCTGCTTCGTCTACCCTCTTCAACATGCACCACTTCGGTGGATCATCCTCAGCATAGACAGATCCCTCCTAGTGTAGGAAGTTTGTGCTAACATATAAATATATCGGGAACTCTTTGTACTTGATGCCAGTGGAATGAGAACGATGCCATTTGCACTACAAGTAGTAAGGTTTCTCAATCACATAATCATCACACCTTTTTTTTATTCATATCATGAATAATGACATAAATTTTCTTGTCGGACTCGATTGGATCCGCACACAACAATGTGATGCAATCAAACAAGAGACCTGCCAAAATTTCACAGTACACCAAAGATCAACCAAATATAACATTGCAAATATTATTCCAAAATATATGCATATAATTAATACTAGCATCTTGTTATAATCATAGAATAAACACCTCTAGCAACTTGCTACAGTAACAGGAAACCAACAATAACTGTAGGTTATATTTTACTGTGCAAATTTTCTCCTTTAAAATTTGGAGTGAAAAAAAAAATCAGCAAAATCGAAAGTAAAAAGGTTGCTGCGCAAAAAAAAAACAAAAAAAACAAAAAAAAAAAAAACCTCTCAGCTGTTCGGATTTGGGCCGTTGAATCGGTCTTATGTTAATCGGATGGCCCAAAATTCAAGGGATTTTACCAAACCTATTCAGCGGACAGAAACAAATGCTTCCGATTGGTTGCCAGCAACCACCTGTCTAGTTACGACAACGAAATTTCATGGGTTCGTGAATTTTTCTTTGACTTCGCTAAAGCCACTGCTCACGTTCATACTCTCAGAGTAACGGAATAAACTAGCAAGAAGGGTACAATGCGGTTTTGACCTAATGAGCTGTACTCTCTAAGGCATGCCCCTATCTAGGCTATAATAATATATACAAATATATTTGACACACCCCCTATACTGGACAAGGGGCTGTGCCTGGTAAGAGACCAGCAACTCAGGGCGGCACTACTAGTCCAACCTCTAAGACAAGGGTCCGAAGATCAGTCAGGAAGAGTACAAACTAGACAAACGCAAACCAGGGTGGCACTTCTAGTCCGGCCACAGGAAGAAAAGCCACAAAGCCAGCTGAAAGGGTAGATATAAAATAATAGTACACAATCAAGGTCCTAGCACGTGAGGAGCTACAGGAACTAGACCAAGCTGTACACAATGCAGGTGATGATCTTTAGGCGCAAGCGTCTTAGTAAAGATATCAGCTATGTTGGCACCGGAGGCCAAGTGTACTACGCGGGCCTGGCCCCGCTGCTGTAGCTCGCGTAGGAGGAAGTACCACAGCTGGATGTGCTTCGCTCTGCCCGGCAGTTGAGGCTCCTGACACAGGAGGATCATAGCCCTGTTGTCAGCGTATAGGATCGGGGTAGAGCTAGGCCGCTCACCTAAGTCTGTGAGCAGAAGGTCAGCCAGCGAAGCTCCTGTGCCGCCATGGCAATGGCGTAGATCTCAGCCTCACAACTAGACAAGGCAATAGACGACGAGCGGGTGGACCTCTACGAGACGGCACCTGCACCAAGGCTAAAGTAGTAGCCCCGGGAGTTCCTGAATGTCTCAGCGTCGTCTGCCCACGAAGCGTCAGTGTGCCCTGTAAGGACTACTGGTCTGCGTCCTCCTAGCACTAGCCCCATGCCCGATGTACATGCTAGATAACGCAAAACCCTCTTAGCGGCCGACCCGTGCTGTGGTTGGTGTCTGCTTATGGCCACAAAGCGAGCCAGGATGCTGAGAGGGTATGCGAGATCTGGACGAGTGCAAGTTATTAGGTACATGCGGAAACCCACCAGCTCTGCGGAAGGATCACTAGGCTCTACACACTCGTCGGGGAACAGGAGCAAAGAGTATGTGGTCTACTGACACAGGTGTGGGATGTGAGGAGGAGAATTGAAGGCCAAACCTCTAAAGGACCTGGCGCACCAAATCTGACTAAGTGAGAATGATGGTGCACGCTGCTCTCTCCCTGGAGATCTGCAGGCCAAGGTAAAGGCGCAGCTCTCCTAGGTTAGTGCAGGTGTGTCTTTTCAGGAGCTCAACCTTCACGGTGTCTAGTGCGTCTCTGTCTGCAGTAACGAAGACCAGGTCATCTACGTAGACACAAATGTAGAACGGGGTCTGGCCAGCACGAACGAAGAGAGAGGGGTCTGCAGCTGACGAGAAGAACTGCAGGTCAGCAAGCGTAGCCCGCAATGTGTCGTGCCACTCACGGAGCGCCTGTCGCAGGCCGTAGACGGGGCGCCGGAGGAGCCACTCGGTCCGAGGAGGGAAGGTACCGGTGAAGCCCTGCGGACGGCCCAGGTAGACCTGCTCGTGTAGACTGCCTTGGAGAAATGCTGTGGAGAAATCAAGGGAGTGTAGCTTGTAGTCACACAGTGCCGCTATGTGTAGCAGTGCCTGAAGAGTAATCATCTTCGGGGTCGGGGCGAAGGTCTGAAAGAAGTCAACACCCTCGCGCTGACTGAAGCCTCTAGTTACGTTGCGCGACATGAATACCGGCGGCTCTCCAGGAGGGCGCTTCACTTTGAAGAGACACCGGCCATCAACCACGTTCACCCCAGGTGGGGGAACTATGTCGACATAGGTGCTGGTAGATCTCTAAGATGCCATCTCCTGCTCCATGGCAGCTATCCATTAAGAGGCCTAAGATACCGAGGTCGCCTCAGCGTAGGTACGAGGGATCGGGATGTAAAGAGCGTCTGGGTCACCCTCAGGGACTAGCAGCATGGAACAGAGATGGGGAGTGACCTCGGACAAGAAAGCAAGCTCGTACTGTCTGTCCTGTAGGACGTCATTGCCAAGGGCAGGAGCACCCCCGACGGACGGAGGACTGGGAGGGTCAGGGACCAGAGTGGTGGCGTAGTCAAAGCGGCGGGTAGAGGCAAAGTCAGAGATAGCAACCACAAGAGCCGACAAACTAGCGACAGGAATGGACAGGTCGGTAACAAGAGAGACAAGGACTCGAGGGACAAGAGGACGCGTAGCACGAAGAAAGTCAGAGAAAGGAGGCAGGGGGACAGCTAGCGACAATGACGGAGGCGACGAAAGGAGCGGAGGAGCACGAGATGCGTGGGAACGAAGCAACATGGGGTGAGAGCACTAAACAGGCGAGACAGGACGAGCACGAGGGGGACGGCGGGACCAGACGTGAGAGGAAGGTGTCGGGTCAGGGGAGAGAGAAGGAGAAACATGAGGGGAACGAGAGGGGAAACAAGCCGGAGACGAGTCCGGCGGAGGAAACACAGGGCCATAGACTGGCAGGGGAGGCAGCGAAGGAGGAGGAACAGCCTAGCAGTTTGGGGAGGGAAGACAAAGGAGGCGAAGGGCAGACACCGGCGGCAATTGCTGCTCCGGCTACGGCGGCAACTGCTGCTCCACACTAGGAAGAGCACCCCCAGAACTAGCACCCTACCCAGCACCCTCTCCAGCACTCGTGCCACCCCCAAGACCGCCGGGACGAGCCACGATAGTAACCCCAGGAGTAGCACCCTCTCCAGCAACCTCCTCAACGACCGCACCCCCCGAGCGCGCGGAACCCAGCGGCGGTGACGGCGGCGGCGGTGGCGGCTGCGGCTACTGCGGCGGCGACGGTGGCTGCAGCTGCTACAACGACGACAAAGGCGGTTGTTGCGGTGGCAAGGAAGGGGACACCGGAGCAAAGACAGGCTGCAAACTCGGAGCTGCAGGGCCACCATAGTCAGCCGACTCCTCCACCGGGACGACAGACGGAAGGGGAGTGACGTGAGACACACCAGACGGGGCAGGATAAGGTGGGGGAGGAGCAGGGGCTCCTGGGGGAGGAGGGACCAGGAACAAAAGGGGGTAACCGGGAGACCTCGGTGGGGAAAGCTGTGGTAGAAGGAGACAGACTTGTCGAAAGTGATGTCACGCGAGTAAAGGAAGCGGTGAGACAGCGGGTGGTAAAAGTGCCAGTCAGACGAGTCGAGGGGGAAACCAAGGAAAGTCACAAGGGACGGTGCGGGCAGTGAGCTTGTCCGTGCCGGAGGCACGAATGTGAGCAAGGCAGCCCCAGACGTGGAACGCTGACGCACCACCAGGGGACCCGGTCCAGAGGAGGGTCGGCAGAACCTGCGACCACTGGGAGTGCGGCCACAAGTTAAGCTGGTGGGCGACGTAGCGAACAGCGAACGGTCACAGAAAATGGGGTGCATCGGCATGAATCATGGAGGTACGAGCCACCTCCATGACCAAACCGATGCGGCACTCGATGACTCCATTCTGCTGTGGAGAGTCTGGCAGGGTGAACGACGGGGTGATGCCCTCCGCACGACAGAACCGGCCAAGGTGGCCAGAGGCGAACTCACCGCCACGGTCGGAATGAAGACGCAAGACAGGGAGACGACGGTGGTCTCGCGCTGCTACGACCCATAAGACAAGAACGTCAGGCACGTCGGCCTTCCGCTCTAAGGGAAACACTGTGGTGTAGCGCGTCTAGTCGTCGACTAGGACCAGAAAGTAGCGCTCGCGACGCGGCTTAGGGACCGGGGCTGAGCCCCAGATGTCCATGTGCACGGTCTGCAGTGACAGGTGGTGGGAGGAAACGAGGACGAGTGAGGGGCACGGCGGAGCCGGCCCTCGATACAAGGCGTGCACGGGGGCGCGGGCGAGGGAGGGAGAGCAGGGAGAGAGACAAGGAGACCTAAGACAAGACCGTGCTGGGACATGTGACGAAGACGCAGAAGTGCGGGGTGGCAAAGGCGATGGTGCCACAGTAGTGACAAGTGAGTGAGCAACCGGTACGAGCAAGCCGCAGCAACCTGGGTAGACGCAGGAACCGGGGAGGACGCCCCCACCGGGGGGGGCACAGTGTTCAGCGTAAACAGGTCAGACACCCGGTCCTGGGGGAACGTCGCAAGGGTGGCACCCGAGGCTGCCTTGGTACAGACAATGTACCGCTCGTGATCAGGGAACATAGTAGTGACGCCGAGGTCCTGAAGACAGCCGACACCAACTGGGTTTCTGGAGAATGAGGGGATGTGCAGGACTATAAGCGAGCCCGCGAGAACCACCAAACAGGTAAGGGTAGTGGAACTGCGGGCTACTACAGGACCGGAGGAGGGGTCAGCAAGTACGACAGCGGCAGGCGCGGGAAGCGGCGACAGCTCAGTGTGGTTGCGGAAGAAGCAGGCAAATGCGCCAGAGTCAAGTGTAAAGGAGAGGTTGTCGAGGCGGCGGAAGCAGCGGGCGATAGGGTGTGGGCGACCACACACAGTGCCGTAGAGGGGGCCGGTCTGGAGCTGGTACTGCAACCCGTAGTACCGGAGCTGCCTCCCGACGCCGAGCTACACCGGCCGCCAACGCGGCCACCACCACCAGAGGCACCGGGCCACCCCGGTGGGAGGTGGCCCCACGATTACTGCTGCTGAGGCTGCTGCTGCTCCGAGGCACCAGCCCCGGTCCCCTCGTCGGAACCACTGTCCCCGCCCCCACCTCCACCATCCCCACCACCCCTACCTCCACCATGCCCCCTCTTGGGGCGGTAGTCCTGACGCGGGCGCGACTGCACGGAGACCGCAGCGGCGGTCTTAGCGGCAGGGTCTGTCTCGGCGACAACGGCAGACACGTCAGCGTAAGTGCACTGGGAGGGCGCATAACCCTGGAAGATAGGGACAGCCGCAGTACTGCTCGACTGGGCAATAATGCGCTGGCGAGTCTCTATCAGGTGTGGAGGGGCGAGGAAGCAAGCCATCGACTTGCACAGTCAGAGAGTGACCATCCTGACGCTGACCTGTCAGGTGACGGCGGAGGCCGACAAGCCAGGCGTCAAAGTTGATTGCGTGCCCCTCCGCGTCCAGGCGGAGCACAGAGTCCGCCATCGCACGACCTCAGCGACACCGCGGAAGAGCTGCTCGGCGGTGTGGCTCTACGCCACCACGGTGGCATAGCGACATGGCGGTACAGCGGCACAACGGTACAGCGGCATGGCGGTACAGCGGCACAGCAGCACAGCAACGCGGCGACACGGCGGCACGGCGGCACAGCGGCTCGGCGGCGCGACTCCACGGCTACACGGCGGCACGACGGTACAGCGACACGGTGGCCCGGTGGCGGCACGGCTGCGGCACGGCGGTACGGCAACACTTCGGAGACGGAAGGAACGAGGACCAGCGCGCCGCTAGCGGGGCCAGCACAGCGCTAAGGGCTGACTGGGGTGCGGAACAGCCAGCAGGGCGCGAAAGAGGGGCTGGCGAGGTGCAAAGGGCCAGCGGGGCGCGAAAGGGGCTGGGGGCACGTGAGGAGGTCAGCGGGCGCGGAGGGCCAGTGGGGCGCGAAGGGCCAGCGGGGTGCGAACGGGGCGGGCGGCACGTGAGGAGGCCAGCGGGCGCAAAAGGGGCTGGCAGCACAAAGGGCCAGCGGGGCGCGAAAGGGGCCGGCTGCGCTAAGGGCCAGAGGGGCACGAAAAGGGGTTGGCGGGGCACAAGGGGCCAGCAGGGCGCGAGAGGGGCTGGAGGTGCGGAAAGGGGTCAGCGGGTGCACAGGGCCAGCGGGGCGCTTAGGGCCAGGGTGGGGGGGACACTAAGGGCCAGCGGGACGGGAAGGGCCAGTGGGGCGCGAAGGGCCAGCGGAACGCGAAGGGCCAGCGGGGCGCTAAGGCTAGGGCTAGGGCGGAAGCTGATGGGCGGACCTCCTAAGTTGATACCATCTCAGAGTAGCGGAATAAACTAGCAAGAAGGGTACAGTGTGGTTTTGACCTAATGAGCTGTACTCTCTAAGGCATGCCCCTATCTAGGCTATAGTGACATATACAAATATGTTTGACACATACGCTCTGCGTATGAACAATTTGGGCAGCGGGGATTAAATCCGAGCTTATGACAATTATCGGGGTTTTGCTTTATTGAGCATAAGTTGCTCAATGTCTCAGGCGATCAGCGCATTCCCCACTGGCCACTCAATGTACCAAGGTCCTTCCATTCGCACAGTTCCGTTTGTCAACTCACGGATTGCTACTATAGAACGGCAATAAATGACTAGCGCTGGATGAAACAGCCTGTCTAAGAAAAATCTGTCTTTCGTGCGGCTCGCGTGATGCTCGGTTGCTAGAGGTCTGCCACGACCCGTCTGGCAGCTGCCGTCTCGCTTCGCGAACCACCGTCGCCTCGTTTCGCGAACCACCGGCGCCATGGGTCGCAGCAGCCATTAGGGTAACGGTGGGCGGCAGACGGGTCAGCTTAGCGCTGCTTCGCGAGAGCGAGGGCAGAAGAGGCTAATCGGTAGGGTAGCGGTGGCGACAGACCGGCGGGCCAGCTTAGCCCTTCGCAACAGCTAGGGAAGAAGCAGCCAATCGATAGTAGGGTACCGGTGGGCGGCAGTCGGGCGGGTCAGCTCAGCCCGGCTTCGCGAGAGCGAGGGCAGGAGCATAGCCATGGCTCAGATGGTCCTGCTCGATAACTCCCTCATAGATCTCGCCTCCCTCAGGTACTGCGCCACTTATCGTGTAGTCTCCCTTATAAAATTGCTGCTCGGGTGCTGCCTCCCTCGGGTGCTCCCGCTACTTCAAGACTACTGCCTCCCGCAGGTACTGCCTCCACCTAGAGACTACTGTCTGGATATGGTGCATTGCGGATTCCGCCCCAGTCTCTCCCCCCCTCCCCCTTCCCCGTCTCCATCTCCCGCAAATCCGTTCTTCTACCACAAGCTGTGCCCCCTTCCCCCTCTTTTCTAGCGAGCTCCTCACACCCGTGCCCTTTATATTGATTCCACCACCTCCTCCCCATCCCCCTCCCTCTCCCCACTCCCCCCATCCCCCCCCACCCCCTCCCCTCCAGATCCTTCCCCCCGAATCCATCTCTCGTAATCCCGTTCCTTCACCATAAGCTGTGTGCCACCATAAGCTGTGCGCCACCATAAGCTGTGCGCCACCATAAGCTGTGCGCCACCATAAGCTGTGCGCCACCATAAGCTGTGCGCCACCATAAGCTGTGCGCCACCATAAGCTGTGCGCCACCATAAGCTGTGCGCCACCATAAGCTGTGTGCCACCATAAGCTGTGTGCCACCATAAGCTGTGCGCCACCATAAGCTGTGCGCCACCATAAGCTGTGCGCCACCATAAGCTGTGCGCCACCATAAGCTGTGCGCCACCATAAGCTGTGTGCCACCATAAGCTGTGCGCCACCATAAGCTGTGCGCCACCATAAGCTGTGCGCCACCATAAGCTGTGCGCCATTCCCCATTCCTTCGCCATACAGCTAGCTCCTGACACACCCTTCCCCCCCTTTTCTTGCTAGCTCCTCACACCCTTACCCTTGACATAATCCATCGCCCCGCACCCCCCCTCCCTTCTCCCTCTCTCTCCGTCCTTTCTCCCATGTTCGTATGGCAAACAGAGCACACGCCAGTCAACGCCTCGTGGACGCCCTTGACTCGGTGCGTTGACTTTCGTTGACTCGTTTACCAGTTACTGTTCATTGCCACCAGCCATCACGCCTACCAGTGCCCGCGAGTTCATTTTGTCCCTTTCCCCTAATCCTCACCACCACATCAGGTGACTTTTGAGTCGACTCAAAAGTCACCTAATCCTCACCACGACATCACAAAAATGTTCTGCCCGCACACCCTTCTACCCGCCTGTCCATATTTCAGCTACCCGTAACCTCCTCGCTCCATCCATCCCACCTTTATACCAGGTGCCAGGAGGCAAGGCGTTGGTGCTGGACGCGTCTGTCAGCGGCCCCTTAGCCTTCATTGCCCCCATCTCTCTGCTCAAGGTGGGCCTCTAGCGTCTCTCGCCTCCACTGCATTGCCCCACGGAATTATCACGCGCAGATAATTCGCCAGCCAACTCATATGTTGCCATATGCCCGTCCGTCATACTTCTGTCAGTGGTGCTCTCTATTAACCCGTTGCGTGCTTGTGTTTTCTCGCCGTCATAACCTCGAATTTCTCCCCCTCCACCCAACCATCTGCCCGGGATCTCTTGTGTCCCTCCCTCGCCCCTTCTGCCTCTACCCCTTCCCCCCCCCTCTCCCCTTCCCCTCGTTACAGGAACACGAGGTGGAAAATCCGTTCCTCGGCTGCGTTTGAGTCAACTCAGAAGCCCTTTCCTCCATCCATGCCCATTATCCACCCCTCCCTTTCTCTCCCCTCCATGCCCATTATCTACCTCTCCCCTTCCCCTCGTTACAGGAACACGGAGTGGAGAATCTGTTCCACATCACCGCTGACCCCATCCAATCACAGTGCTCCACAATTCTTTATCTCCTGCGCCCTAATCCTCATTTGATTCGATGGATTACACGCCAGGTAAGATTGGATTTCCACGACCATGCTTGTACCGCACTGAACCGCATTAGTGTCCATCCACCCCATTCAATAGCAGTGCTCCACTATCCCCTCTCTACCTCCTGCACCCTAACCCTCTCCTGATTCGCTGGACCACACGCCAGGGAAGATTGGGCTGCATCTCTTGGCACCGCACTGCGCCGTGCTCTACCTCCCTCCTGCACCCTCCTCATCCCCACGTGATTCGCTGCTCGGAGCTACTTGCTCTCCACTCGCTCTGATCGTGTGGTCCTCCCCCTCGTTTTCTCTCCTACCCCACAGTCCCTTCCCACCTCCTTCATATCTCACGAGGTGCGGGCGGATGGGGAGGATGCGTCAGTCGCAGCTACTCGCTGTTCATCCTCCTTCCCCCTTCATTCTCGTCCTGAGTGCGCTGTTCACCCCCCCCCTCCTTCTCCCCTCTCCCCTCCCACCAGGTGCGGGCAGACGAGGAAGAGGGTGTCAGCCGCAGCTACTCACTCTGCTTGCGTGCGCCCCGTCAACCTGCCATGCCACACTCTTCCATTTATTTCCCTTCCCCTCCTTTCCTTTCCTTCCCGTCCTTTCCTTCCCGTCCTTTCCTTCCCGTCCTTTCCTTCCTCCCTCCCATCTCCTGCGCGTCATCAGGTGCGGGCGGATGAGGACAAGGGCGTCAGTCGCATCTACTCGCTCTCCTCATGGTTGTGTAGCCACTGCAAGCAACCCATCTCCTCTCTGCCCCCCCCTTCCCCCCATCCCCTACCACCCCCCTCCCACCAGGTGCGGGCGGATGAGGACGAGGGCGTCAGTCGCAGCTACTCGCTCTACTTCATTCCCCGATGCGACACAATCTGCAACAGGGTAAGTACCTGCATGGGGCATCATCAGTTATGTCTGCAGAAATCCTCTTTTTCTTCTTACAAAACGTGGACTAGTGCTAGCATTGAAGGGATGAGATGGAAGCATCGGTGGCAAAGAACAGGCAAGGCATGTTATGCTTTCTCACTCAAGTGAAAACCGCATTCGCCAACCCCACCCACTCACCCACTCACAGATTCTTGAGCAAGAGGGGCTGGTGGATGACCCTCGAGTGGCGGTGGGCGAGTATCCTCTCGAGCTCATTCCCATGGACCATGACCTACTCACACTGGACCTCCATACCCTTTATAAGGTGAATCCTGTACCTTTTATAAGCTGATTTCTCTACCCTTTTCTGAAGAGCATTGGTGTGTGGCATGTGTGCAGCAACACTTGACCTGAGATGGTTTCGCTTCATCCGCAACTCCCTTCCCTCTTTCAGCCAATCCAGAGCATTTGAGTTGCGTGGATTCGCATCCCACCCCTCCTTACCTTTCTCCACCGTTTCTTTCCTCTCTTCCCCCGCCACTTCTACGCTGCACCAATCTCACCTCCCACCTCCCACCCCTCACCCCTTGCTGGAATGCACCCTCTAACTTTCATTCCTTCTATCTCTCCGCTCCACTTCTAATCTGCACCAATCCAGGACGTCCATGTGGACTCAGACCCCACCTCCACGTTGCAAGTGGCACACGTGCTCGCCAACTTCCAGGTGAGCACGCCTGCAGTAGTGCCAGGTGATGATGTCAGCGGTCCTGTGTGAGGGTTTTAGTGATGCAAAGTGATGACGTCACATGCCAGGCGATGCGTCCCTACAGTAGGGCGGGTGGGTAGGCAGGTGGGCGGAGCATTCCTGGCTGTGGGCGTGGGCAGGTGCTTGCTGCACTGCAGCTTTGCTGTTAGCAAGGTACCTTCTGAGTCGACTCAAAAGTCTTCTGGCTGGAGTGTTTGCTGCTGCACTGCAGCTCTGTTGTTAGCAGGACTTGGAGGCAAGTGCACCACCACCTGTCTCAGTCTCACCTCACTCACTCCCGTCTCTTCCCCTGTCACTCGCTTTACCCCCCTCCCCCCCTGTCCACTCCACCCTGTCTCTTTCTCCCTGCCCTTCCCCTGCCAACTGTCCGTGTTCGGCGTTCCACCAGTGCTCAAGGGCAAGGGCGTGGCAGCACAGCGAGTGGCTCAGGCCATGAGGCAGCTGATGAGGTTTGAAGCAACTCTCAAGGACTCCACCGCCCTCGGTGTTTCCCCACGTGCTGTCTGCTGTCGCCCTCCTTACAGTCCGTGTTTGGCGTCCCATCGGTGCTCAAGGGCAAGGGCGTGGCAGCGCAACGCGTGGCTCAGGCCATGAGTCAGCTGATGAGGGAACAGAAGTCACATGTGGTGCCGGTGGGTATGAGGTGCACGTGCATGTGTTGCATTCACGTAGTCATGAAACAATGGCAGCGCAGCAAGTGGCTCAGGCCATGAGTCAGCTGATGAGGGAACAGAAGTCACATGTGGTGCCGGTAGGTCTACATTGCGGGTGCATGTGCTGTTTCATGCATGCATGATTGCATGAATCCATCCACACAAGCCATGAGTCAGCTCATGAGGGAGCAGAAGTCACATGTGGAGCTGGTAGGTCTGCATTAAGCACTATGCAGTGGTGCTGGGTGTGAGAGCCGATGCAAGTAAGCCATAAACCAGAGGCAGCACAGCGAGTGGTGTATGCCATGAGTCAGCTGATGAGCGAACAGAAGTCACATGTGGTGCCGGTTGGACTGAATTGCGCACTATGCATGCATGGATGTCTGTTTGTGTGTGCATGTGCGTGCTCTGTTCCATGGGTGCATGAATGTGCGCAAGCCATGAGTCAGCTGATGAGGGAGCATAAATTTAAGCTTGTGACGCTGGTAGGTCTGGATTGCGGGTGCATGTGCTGTGTCATGGGTGAATGGGTGCATGGGTGCATGGGTGCATGGATGCATGGGTGCATGGGTGCATGAGTGCATGAATGCATGGGTGAATGCATGGGTGCATGCGTGCATGAATGCATGGGTGGATGCGTGCATGGGTGCATGCGTGCATGGGTGCATGCGTGCATGGGCGCATGGGTGCATGGGTGCATGCGTGCTTGGGTGCATGGGTGCATGCGTTCATGAATGCATGGGTGCATGCTGAAGGAACTAGCTTTTGAGGAGAAAAAAATAAATTGAGTAGGGAGCCAAGAGGCTCAATTGTACAAAACAAAGAGCAAGGAAGAGCTGGAAGGGAAGCTCTCCTATTGGCCATAAAGTGGACCAATGGGAGAGGTTACTTGTAGGGCAAGCAACCACAAAGTGTGGTGCTCTCCGATTGGCCACAATGTGGACCAATGGGAGAGATTGCTTGGAAGGCAAGCAACCACAAAGTGTGGTGCTCGGTGATTGGTTGGTTCTTAGGACCAAAGACCATTTGGTTGGAATAGTGCCAACCAAATGTCTAGGACCAAATCCAAACTTGACCAACCCAAATGCGGGGTTGGTCAACCCAACCAACAACCCCCCAATTATTATAATGACTACATCTCCTAATCTAGGCATGCATGTTGTATAGATATATATTTTACAACACATGCGTGTATGGGTGCATGCGTGCATGGGTGCATGGGTGCATGAATAAATGGGTGCAAGCGTGCATGGGTGCATGGGTGCATGGGTGCATGGGTGCATGCTTGCATGGGTGCTTGCGTGCATGGGAGCATGGGTGCATGCGTGCATGGGTGCATGGGTGCATGCGTGCATGAATGCATGGGTGCATGCTTGCATGGGTGCATGTGTGCATGGGTGCATGCATGCATGGGCGCATGCGTGCATGGGTGCATGGGTGTGTGCGTGCATGAATGCATGGGTGCATGCGTGCATGGGTGCATGGGTGCATGGGTTCATGAATGCATGGGTGCATGCTTGTATGGGTGCATGCGTGCATGGGTGCATGGGTGCATGCGTTCATGGGTGCATGGGTGCATGGGTTCATGAATGCATGGGTGCATGCTTGCATGGGTGCATGCGTGCATGGGTGCATGCGTGCATGGACGCATGGGTGCATGGGTGCATGGGTGCATGGGTGCATGCGTGCATGAATGCATGGGTGCATGAATCCATGGGTGCATGTGTGCAGGGGTGCATGCGTGCATGGGTGCATGGGTGCATGGGTGCATGGGTGCATGCGTGCATGGGTGCATGGGTGCATGAATGCATGGGTGCATGCGTGCATGCGTGCATGGGTGCACGGGTGCATGAATGCATGGGTGCATGCGTGCATGGGTGCATGGGTGCATGAATGCATGGGTGCATGGGTGCATGCGTGCATGAATGCATGGGTGCATGCGTGCATGGGTGCATGCGTGCATGGGTGCCTGGGTGCATGAATGCATGGGTGCATGTGTGCATGGGTGCATGGGTGCATGGGTGCATGCGTGCATGAATGCATGGTTGGGTGCATGTGTGCATGGGTGCATGGGTGCATGGGTGCATGAATGCATGGGTGCATGCGTGCATGGGTGCATGGGTGCATGAATGCATGGGTGCATGCGTGCATGGGTGCATGGGTGCATGCGTGCATGAATGCATGGGTGCATACGTGCATGGGTGCATGGGTGCATGCGTGCATGGGTGCATGGGTGCAAGGGTGCATGGATGCACGCACATGTGCAAGGGGCAGAAGTCGTACACATATAGCAGAAGTCGTGCACATGTAGCAGAAGTCGTGCACATATAGGAGAAGTTGTGTATATATAGCAGAAGTCGTGCACATATAGCAGAAGTCGTGCACATATAGCAGAAGTCGTGGACATATAGCAGAAGTCGTGCACATATAGCAGAAGTCGTGGACATATAGCAGAAGTCGTGCACATATAGCAGAAGTCGTGCACATATAGCAGAAGTCATGGACATATAGCAGAAGTCGTGCACATGTAGCAGAAGTCGTGCACATATAGCAGAAGTCGTGCACATATAGCAGAAGTCGTGCAAGGGGGGTCAGCCGATGATGGTCAGTAGGTCAGTAGGCCTGGATTGCGTGCACAGATGTTGCTGGGTCGAGACTGCACTGCTGCTCTTCCCAAGACCATGAGTGACGATGACCCATGGGACTATGATGGTCAGTAGGTCAGTAGGCCTGGATTGCGTGCACAGATGTTGCTGGGTCGGCGCTCAGACGAGTGGGGCAGCACAGCGAGTGGGGCAGCACAGCGAGTGGGGCAGCACAGCGAGTGGGGCAGCACAGCGAGTGGGGCAGCACAGCGAGTGGGGCAGCAGAGGCCATGGGTCAGCTGATGCAGGGGCAGAAGTCACACGTGGCGCCAGTAGGTTTGCACTGGGCACGACCTGGTGCTGCTGGGAATTGAGCCTGCCATGTAAATGCCATGTGTGGCTTGTGCATGAATGTCTTCTTTCATCTGTTCTCCGATGTGGGAGCACAACCATAAGCCAATGGGTATGCAGTGCATGGGTGGGTGTAGACATGGGCACAAGCCGAGCCACACCTGGCTCGGCTCGGCTCGGCTCGCCTTTAAGGCGAGCCGAGCCTTCTTTTTTGGTACCCGGCTCGACTCGAGCCGAGCCGGCTCGGCTCGACTCGAGCCGGCGGCTCGGCTCGGCTCGCGAACGTGAAATCAGGCGAGCCGGAGTCGAGCCGGCTCGAGCTGGCTCGATTTCGAGCCAGCCGGCTCGCGGCTAGGGAAAGGAGGGTTTTCTCGACTGTCAAATTTTAGATCGACAACCCCCCCCCTGCCAATATTGTCTGCCAACCCTAACCTCACCCTGTCGCGCTAGTCTATCGACCTCAGCCAGCCATATTTAAACCGGCAGCTCCTCCTGATAGTTTTGTAAGATGTAGGAGCAGACGATCAGCTAAATAATATGGATTATCCCCTATACTAGAGACCCCAAACCCCGTGGCCCCAATTGAGAGCCCGCACAAGCCCCTCTGACGAGCCGAGCCGAGCCGGCTCGCCGGCGAGCCGGCCCCGGCTCGACCCCATTTTCACGAGCCGAGCCAGGGATCCTGAGGACCCGGCTCGAGGCGAGCCGAGCCGGCTCGACCGGCGAGCCGGCTCGGCTCGACCCCAAACGAGCCGAGCCGAGCCAGGCTCGGCTCATGCCCATGTCTACCCACGGTGGGTGTGCACACATGGTATGTGGTTTCTGCGCCCATGGATGCATGTGCATCTGTGCACCCATGGATGCATGTGCATCTGTGCACCCATGGATGCATGTGCATCTGTGCACCCATGGATGCATGTGCATCTGTGCACCCATGGATGCATGTGCATCTGTGCACCCATGGATGCATGTGCATCTGTGCACCCATGGATGCATGTGCATCTGTGCACCCATGGATGCATGTGCATCTGTGCACCCATGGATGCATGTGCATCTGTGCACCCATGGATGGATGCATGTGCATCTGTGCACCCATGGATGCATGTGCATCTGTGCTGGCCTTGGAAACGCTCCTGAATGCATGTGTTTCGCCAAACTTTCTGTGTACACAAACGATGCTACTTGAACATTTTTCGGTTGGTTTTTTTCCCCCCTGCCCCACTTGTGACATCTTTCTTGTGCTGACTGCAGGTGGAGCATCCTAGCGTTGACATGATGGTGCTGATCGATAGACAGGTGGGTTGAGTTGAGCTCTGAGGCGCTCAAGGGGCTACTCAACCCCAATTTTGCACTTGTGACCTTCGATTGGTGGAGCATCCTAGCGTTGGCATGATGGTGCTGCTGATCGACAGGCAGGTGCGCGAGAATTCACTGTTAGAGATAGGCTGCAATTCGGTTGGCACAATTTTGTGTGTTGGCACTTTGTTGGTTTTAGGGATACACATATTTGTTAGGTTGGGTGTAGCTATGTTTTCATCCCCAACCTATCCCAACCCAATCCATCCCAAATCCCCACGATTTGGGAGGATTCCCTTGGGATTCCCTCCGATTCTCCCTTATCCCTTCCCATCCTCTCCGATGCTCGGTACTGAAGGATGTATGCTCTTGCTCATTTTAATCAATCAAGTTCTCAGTCTCTGATATTCACAACAAAAGGGCAACAACTTGCCAAATCTCCAGACCAAGTGACTTATAAGTCGACTCATAAGTCACTCCGTAGCTAGCCAACAGAACTCGTGGGTGGGCATTTAGCTTCTGTTGCTGTGTGTCGGTTTTTGCTAGCCTGTATGTTGTATTCTTAAATTGCCCCACACATAGCTAGATAGTGTCTGCACAATGGACATTGTGTCCAATTGGGTCATTGCGTTGTGTTGTGTTCATGGTGATCACTCGGACCCAGTCACTGACTCTCGCGTGCACTTCAGCATGCAGCACCATGACCTGATTGACCTGATTGACCCGATTGATCACCATAAATAGTCACTACTTATGATTTGAGGTGAGGTGCCTCGAACTTGTGTTCATACCTAGTCATTGATTCTCATGTGCGCTTCAGCATACAATGACCCGATCGAACACCATGAGCAGACGCTAGCTATAAAGTGCTGCGGCTTATCAAATCGTCTCTTGTTTTCTTGTGGTGGCAGGTTGACATGTTCACCCCAGCGTGCACACAATTGACTTACGAGGGGCTGTTAGACGAGGTGAGCGTGCTGTGTGTGGTGTATGTATGAGGTGAGTGCGCTGTGTGTGGTGTATGTATGCGGTGAGTGCGCTGTGTGTATGAGGTAACACGGTTACATGGTATGGAATGGCATGGAATGACGTGGAGTGGCAGGTTGACATGTTCACCCCAGCGTGCACACTATTGACTTACGAGGGGCTGTCAGACATGGTGAGCATGCTGTGTGTATGAACGAGATGAGGGCTGCATGGTATGGAATGGCATGGAATGACCTGGAGTGCCGGATTGATAAGTTCACTCCCGCATGCACGCAACTGACGTACGAGGGTTTGTTAGTCGAGATAAGTTTTCCATCTCTCTCCGACTTGTTCCTGTCTTCGGCTACCAATCCCTCGGCTGTCCTCTGCTGTAAACTCATCTACTGCTGTCCATCTGCCCCTCCACTCAGCTCCTGCACGTGGCAAACGGATCAGTGGAGGTGGATCCAGCACCTGCCGATATGGGAGGGAGCGACATCTAACTTCTGTCTTCATCTACCGATCTCTCTCTCTCTCTCTCCTCTGCTGTCAATCCCTCTACCGCTGTCCATCTGCCCCTCCACTCAGCTCCTGCACGTGGCGAGCAGAGCAGTGGTGGTAATTCCTCCTGCAGTCATGGGGGTTATGGTTATGCCTCTAACTTCTGTCTTTTGCCACCAATTTCTCTCCCTGCTTCGTGTCCATTCATCTCCCCACCCAGCTCCTGCAGGTGGCGAACGGAGCAGTGGAGGTGGAGCCTGCAGTCATGGGAGTGACATCTAACGCCAAGAAGATCAAAGTGCCCCTCAACTCCAAGTGAGGGTAGACAGTGAGAGGGAGAGAGGAAGATGCTTAAGATGAGAGTGTTGGATTGAGTGTGAGTGAGAGTGTGGTGGAGCCTGCAGTCATGAGTGTGACATCTAACGCCAAGAAGATCAAAGTGCCCCTCAATTCCAAGTGAGGGGATTGAGTGAGAGTGCTGGTTCACGTGACTGGTGGCTCGCGTGTTGAAGGTTCCTTGAAGATTCTTTGTATAAAAGCAGGGCTCTTCATTTCCATCTTCGCTGCATCTGAGATGATTCAAATTGTGGAGGTCTTCAACCAGTAGTATCAGAGCTATTTTACCATGCGTGTTCGTACTATCTCAACACACTTGTTTATACTATTTCACCATCCTTCTTGCTGCAGTGACAAGCTTTTTCAGGACCTTAGAGGCCGCAACTTTGGAGTGGCGGCTGAGGTGAGGGATGTTTTTTTTGCAGGATAAAAAAAGGTTACATGATACCTTTTTAAAAAAATTCAATGTCTGGGCCAACGTAAGAACATTCGAGCCCTAGCCAGAAGCCATTTGAGATCTGATAAACCGCCACCATCGCACCTCTCCATTCTGTTCGCTTCTATAGTAGTTTCGTGTGGTAACTTGAATATAAATCTCCAGATGTGCGCCTCTCCTCTGCGACGCTCCTCCTTCTTCTGTGCACCCCTGCGTCCCTCTCGTTGCCCTGGCCTGTCTTTTCACCCCTATTTTCCCAGCTGCTCCGAGCCAAGGCAGTGGAGATGAAGTCGGAGTATGCAAATCTGAGGCAGAGGCCCCAGAGAGACGCATCACCGCTGCGTTCTGCTGCAGCCGGGGAAGATGGAACGGCCGCTGCTGCTGCTGGTGGTAGTGGTGGTGAACAGGTGAGTATGTGCTGACGTTGCTGCTGCTGTTATGCACATGCAAGTACCCTCTCCCTTTCTGCATTGTTTTGCATCAGGCATTCTACAGGCAGCATCTGAGCGCTCAAAATTAATTTCTGTACAGGACCAGAAAGTCTGGCGCTCCCTTTTGCCGCCTCCTGGAGCTCAGACTGTATCGCAGCTCTAGGTATCATTGACCAACCCTTCCTGTATCAGCGGCATCCTTTCTCCCTGTAAACCCTTTCGCCGCATGTTATGTTCTCCAAATTGCATCCGAGCTCTTGCTTGAAGTACTAGCATTAGAACTGTTCTTAAGTGGTAGAGAGGATTCCAGCAATAGTCAATCAGGTAGACATGCAACGTCTGGAATGTGCGTGCTAACGCGTTTCGGTCAAAGACCTTTATTAGCGCACTGATTGTTTAGTAGAAAGGGACAGGTCAGTCTGCCAGACTATCAGTGCGCTGATTAGACTTGAGCATTTTACCCGGTCGGGTCGCGGGTACCCGACCCGACCCGACATTTTGGCCGGGTCGGGTAATAGGATTTTGTCGAATTACCCGGCCGGGTCGGGTCGGGTACTCGGGCCGGGTAATGCATACCCGTTACCCAAGAATTACCCGAAATGTCAAGTAATTTATTACCCGTCGGGTCGCGGGTACCCGACCCGACTTTGGGTTTGTTACTCTGTGTTTGCTGAATTTTACAGCCACCTAGGGGTACCCGTGTAATATTACCCCACTTCAATTAAATGCGGGTCGGGTATACCCAACCCGACAGACGGGTACCCAATTACCCGGTATTAAAATGTCGGGTCGGGTAACAGACCTCCAAACATTACCCGGAAATTACCCGACCCGACCCGACCCGGACCCGATTGCGGGTAGGGCAAAACCGGGTCGGGTCGGGTAATTACCCGGTTTTGCTCATGTCTAGCGCTGATGAAGGCCTTTGGCCAAAACGTCTTCGCGCACACATCCCAAGCATAGCATGTCTACTCGATCGACTAAATAAGAAAATTTCCGCTCAAATTACCACGTTAGGGCAGTCCTAACTCAGTTAGCTTGCTGAGATCGAACCCCTCATCGAGCCATCTCGTTGTGTGTTTTCCGTAATCATTTAAAGTAAAGGACTTTGCCCAAACGCCTTAAATCTCTTTTTTCTCTTCCTTCCCCCCCTCCCCCCCCCCCCCCCCCCCTCCTCTCCCCCCCCCTTCTGCACCTTGCATTGGCCAGACTGTATCGGAGCTCAAGGACTTTGTTAAGAAGCTCAATGTGCTTCCCGAGCTCACTGTAAGGTTCTGCTGCTCCCCTTAAAAACCAAAGGCTGGTTAGTTAGTCGAAGCAGCCTTTCTTTGCACTGCAGAAGGCTGTTTATAGCACCATCATGTGTTTGGCACACCAGCTCGTGTGCATCGTGATGTTCATTGCTCATTCGGCAAAATCGTGACGTTTTCTTGAATCCATTGCCTGCATCACACGGGAGAAAGAGAGGATGTCATTACATGCCATCACACGGGAGGCACCTCCTCAAGTGCCTCTTCCGTGCTGTTGTGCCGCTCCTCCCACTCTCTCTCTATCTCCCCCCCACCCTTCCCCTTCCGTTCTTCTTCATTTCCCCCTCCCCTCTCTTCGTTGGTGCCACACCAACCAGCTTTAAGAAAACCCGTCTTCCCCCTGCTCCCTCCTCTCACCCCTCCCCCCTCTCCCCCCTCTCCCCCCACCACCCCTCCCGCCCCCTCCCCGTCCCTTCTCCCGCAGCGTCACACCAACCCAGCTCAGCACATCTCGCAGTTTCCCAGCCAGTTTTGAGACATGCCACCCAAACTCTCAACTCCCACCTCACCTCCCCGTCAACCTTCGTTTCATCACTCCCCTTTCCTCCCCACCAGCGCCACACCAACCTAGTGCAGCACATATCCCAGTTCACCAACCAAGTTCAGGAGACGCAATTCAAACTGGCACCGCGGCCCGCCCCCTCGCTCGCAACCCTTGTCTTTATGTTGTCCCGTCCCCTCCCCCCCAGCGCCACACCAGCCTGGCGCAGCAGATTCCCCAGTTCACCAACCACTTAGAAGACATCCAACCCTACCCCCCCCTCCCTCTCCCTCTTTCCCATCTCTTTCCCTTTCTTTTCCCCCCCAGCGCCACACCAACCTAGCGCAGCACATATCCCAGTTCACCAACCGCCCGGCCTTCGGCACCTTGATTTCCACCGAGCAGTCCATCCTGGAAGCACGCTCCATCGACTCGTATGTGTCACATCGCATCCTCAATTCGCATGCCTTGCCCTGTTCTGAGTCACCTGAAAGCCCATTTCCCGGTTCTCCAACAGCCCAGCTTTTGGCACCTTGATTTTTACGGATCAGTCCGGCCTTGAAGCACGCTCCATTGACTCGTATGTGTTAGCTAGCTCCAGCGAGGAGGAAAAACCCTAACGCTGCAGCCCACCCTAACGCTTATTGTCCGGCCTTGAAGCATGCTCCATTGACTCGTATGTGTTAGCTAGCTCCTGTGTCCAGTGTGCTACCTGTTTATTTTCTCCGAGCTTAGATTCAATCCACCTTCTCATCCCTGTGAAAGAATGTAGAGAGACCTTGTCCTCGCATGCGTGTATTTCCTCATGCGGGTGATAGAAGTGCAGTTTTGAGACGCATGTGGATGGAGATGTACGTCTCAAAACTACACTTCCTCGCGTGTGTGCATCTCCACGTGCAAACCTTGTTGGTATGGTAACGAGGGCTCCTGCGTGTGTGCAAAGTTTGTTCATGCTGGGCGTGTGGGGTGGGGATGCCGTGACACAGAGACATCCATCTTGTGCAATTGTTTCTGTTAATGTATGTCCGGGTGGGCATTGGTGTATCCAAATGTGTGATTACAGAGAGCATGTGAGTACATCAAGAAGCTGCTATGTCGCAGAGACATCCATCCCATCCCCACTGCTGCGGCTCCTCTGCCCTTATGTGAATGTGCATGTATTCTTATCCCCAAACACATGGCTGCAGGGCGTGCAAGTACATCGAAGATGCCATGGCGCAGAGACATCTGTTGATGTGCATTTGCATCTGTTAACACACACTCGTTTCTTGGATGTCTCAATGTGTGGCTGCAGGGCGTGTGAGTACGTCGAGGATGCCAATGTCCCAGAGGCATTTGTGCGTGCATTGTATGCCCAAACTTGTGGCTGCAGGGCATGTGAGTACATCAAAGACGACGCCATGCCGCAGAGACATCCGGATGTCCCCAATGTCGATTTGTTGTATCTATTTACGCGCATTTGTTTCTTGCATGCCCCAATGTGTGATTGCAGGGTGTGTGAGTACATAGAGGACGCCATGTCGCAGAGACATCCCATGTCCACTGTGCTGCGGCTCCTTTGCCTTCTCTCCCTCACCAACGGCGGCATTCCCAAGGCGCGATTCGACCACCTGAGGTACATCTATTACATCTCATTCTCCATATTTTGTCTTGATTTTTTCTTTATTCTTTATTTTTTCTTCATTTTCTCCCCATGATGGTAACCTTGTACCTGCTTGTGCCGTTCTAACACGATCCGCGGCACCTCAAAAGCAATTCTGATTGTTGGCATCGGCTTCTCCCGCCCGAGATGAGACGTTTTTTGAGGTACCTGAAAGATCTTCGCGTCTGTTCCTCCCGCCAATGACGTCCGCCCAGCCGCCAAATTAGATCGAATCAGATCGCATCGCAGCTGTTCCCCTGCACTGCCTGGCTTCGTGCATTGTGTCACTAACACAACTTTAAACTCTTAAAATTTCAAACATTGCAGGAAGGAGTTCATCCATGCCTACGGGTTTCCTTGAGGTGTTTACACTAACTTTGAACTCTTCAAAATCACGATTCAGCTATTCCTAGACATGATCAAAATGCGATTGCGATTTAAATCGCATCGCACAGGGGCGCGATTTATTATTTTTATTAAAAAAAAAAAAAAAAAAAAAAATGCGATTTAAAATCGCATCGCGCGATTTGATTTTCCGGGAAAAAAAATATCGCATTTTTTGCGGAATTTTTTATTTAAACCGCATGCGATGTTTATTTAAATCGCGCGATGCGATTTAAAATCGCATTGCATTTTACTTAAATTAAAAAACACCTGCAAAAACCGGAAAAAAACAACACTGCTGGGAATTTGGATCACAGACTCCATAAACTAATTTCGACCACCAAAAACCGTGAAGAATGGTGGGTTTATGAGACAAGGGGAGTGTGTGCTAAGCCGAAAAACGATTTCCCAAGGAAATTCTCCGAAAGAGAATTTCACAAATGCGTTTTTGGGCTTTGCGTTTTTTTCCCCTATGCTGGTGAGATTTTGCATTGCGATGTATTTCGCAATTCGCTTTAAAAAAATCGTGGTGGGCGCGATTAAAAAAAATTTGCAAATCGCAATTTAATCGCGATTAAAATGCGATTTAGATTAAATCGTGCGATAAATAAATCAGCGCATCGCGCGGTTTTTTTCTTTTCATTTATTATTATCGCAATCGCAAAAACGCGATTAAAAGCGATGCGATGCGATTTAATCTGCCCATGTCTAGCTATTCCCCTTCTTTGCCTCGCTACTATGCATTGCAGGAAGGAGTTCCTGCAGGCCTACGGTTTCCTTCAAGTGTTTACACTTGACAACTTTGAGCGAGCCAGCCTTATCAAGCGACAGGTGGGTGCCTGAGGCCGCATGGTGCCGCATGGTGCATGCCTGATTTCATGCATCAAGCATTGGCCACTGTGTCTTTGCTGCTCAAGCCCACAGTCACCTTGTGCCGCCCACGCAATACTCTTGTGTCTTATCGCCACCTGCTGTGTTGTGTGTCCCTTGCCTGCAGGAGGGCCGCAGTAAAGCGGGGCATCAAGCCCATAGTCACCTTGTGCCGCCCACGCAATACTCTTGTGTCTTATCGCCACCTGCTGTGTTGTGTGTCCCTTGCCTGCAGGAGGGCCGCAGTAAAGCGGGGCATCAAGCCCATAGTCACCTTGTGCCGCCCACGCAATACTCTTGTGTCTTATCGCCACCTGCTGTGTTGTGTGTCCCTTGCCTGCAGGAGGGCCGCAGTAAAGCGGGGCATCAAGCCCATAGTCACCTTGTGCCGCCCACGCAATACTCTTGTGTCTTATCGCCACCTGCTGTGTTGTGTGTCCCTTGCCTGCAGGAGGGCCGCAGTAATTGGGCAGCAGTAAAGCGGGGCCTCAAGCTGATAGTGGATGACGACGATGACGCCAAGTGAGGAGGGGTGATGCTGATAATGCTGGCGGGGATGATGGGGATGATGGGGATGATGGGGATGATGGGGATGATGGGGATGATGGGGATGATGGGGATGATGGGGATGATGGGGATGATGGGGATGATGGGGATGATGGGGATGATGGGGATGATGGGGATGATGGGGATGATGGGGATGATGGGGATGATGGGGATGATGGGGATGATGGGGATGATGGGGATGATGGGGATGATGGGGATGATGGGGATGATGGGGTTGGTGCCACAGCACAAGCCATGCAGCAGGCCACAGCACAAGCCATGCAGCATGCCACAGCACAAGCCATGCAGCAGGCCACAGCACAAGCCATGCAGCAGGCCACAGCACAAGCCATGCAGCAGGCCACAGCACAAGCCATGCAGCAGGCCACAGCACAAGCCATGCAGCAGGCCACAGCACAAGCCATGCAGCAGGCCACAGCACAAGCCATGCAGCAGGCCACAGCACAAGCCATGCAGCAGGCCACAGCACAAGCCATGCAGCAGGCCACAGCACAAGCCATGCAGCAGGCCACAGCACAAGCCATGCAGCAGGCCACAGCACAAGCCATGCAGCAGGCCACGGCACAAGCCATGCAGCATGCCACAGCATGCCACAACACAAGCCACATAGCCTCATTCTCTCAAGTTCAACCCCTCTATCCCTTTCCTCCTCCAACCCCACCCAAACAGCCCCAGGGACGTTGCTTTCACGTTCTCTGGCTATGCCCCTCTGAGCGTGCGCCTGCTGCAGCAAGCCGTGCAGCCGGGGGGGTGGTGAGTAACTCTCCTCTCTGCCTCTCTCCACCTCTCTCTACCTCCCTCACACCTCTCTCTACCTCCCTCCACCTCTGTCTACCGTTTCAACCTCCATCCCTCACTCATTGCCGAGTCTTGTTAGATGCCCTTGCGACTTGTGTAACTCGGTTCGGCAAGTGCAAGTAAGAACTACATGGCATGTCAAACAATCAACGGAAACCTTAATGCCCATTCTCCCCCCCCCTCCTTTTTTTTCACTCCCCCTTGTTTGTCAGGAAATCACTAGATGAAGCCACAAAGGCGGCCACAGGACCGACGTTTGAGTGGGAGCAAGTGAGTCCAGGGCACCCTGAAACACCTCATTGAGTAGGAACAGGTGTTCACAGTTCACCCTCATTTTAAGTGTGTTTTGAGTCGACTCAAAACGCACCCTTAAGCACCTCATTGAGTGGGAACAGGTGTTCACCATCCTTCTACTTGAATTTGGTTCTTTCTGCAAAAACTGTGTGTTCGCAGCCAGTTTCGCGGCTGGTTGGTGGTTGATTGTGTGAGCACACCATCTCTGCGTGTTCGCCTTCCTTTCATGGCCCATGACCCTTGAGGCCAGGCGGTGTTCATGCCCGGTCGATGGTTGAGTGTGTTTTGTTGGCCGGGGTGACCTTGGAGGTTGGTCGGTCTTCTGTCCCCACCACCCTCCCATCAAGCCCATGACGGCACCACCCCATCATCGAGACATCACAGACCGGAGCCTCTCCTCTGCTTCAAGTGGCAGAAGGCATCTGAGGCTGTTTCTCGCCTCGTGGCAGTCGTGTTCCTGGGAGGGGTCACCTTTAACAACCTCTTGCTTCTCTTTCCGTCTGCTCCTCTGTACACCCCTCACCCCCTCCCCCACTTCCCAGTCCCATGACGGCACCACCCATCGGGATGTCACGGACCGGGGCCTTTCCTCTGCCCGCAGGGGGCCATCTGAGGCTGTTCCTCACCTCTTGGCAGTTGTGTTCCTGGGAGGCGTTTCCCTCAACACCCTCTTGCTTCTCTTTCCTTCGTATTTTTCCACCACCACCATGCAGTCTCATGACGGCACCAGCCATCGAGACGTCACGGACCGGAGCCTCTCCTCTGCTGCAAGTCGCAGGGGGCCATCTGAAGCCGTTCCTCGCCTGGTGGCAGTCGTGTTCCTGGGAGGGGTCACCTTCGCCGAGATTGCTGCTCTGCGCTTCCTGTCCCGCCAGGTGTGTTCCTGAGATTATTGCCTTATGTTCGTGCATGCATGCGTGCGTTCATGCGCCTTGGGTTTCCAGCTCTTTCTGAAGCAAAACCACCTAGAGAATCTGAGATGTGAGGAGACTCACAGCATGTGTGGACTCAAAATAAGGGGAGGCATTGGCTTTTTGGAGGTTTCTGCTCTGGGCTTCTTGCCCCGCCAGGTTTGTGCCAAAAATACCGGTAAGGCACGCATGAGTCGTTAAGTCTTATCATGGGAAGTTGGCGTTACGCTTGAGGAATCTGATATAGATTCCTCCCTCACCAGGTTAGTTCTCGCAGGAAGTACCATAGAAATGTGGAACAACTTGCTGCTTTTCGCTCTCTCCCCCAGATCCCACACGGGCCACACTGTCAGTGCGTCTGGCCACTCCTCTCCTATTTTCCTTATGCTCCAATGGTTGTGTGTTGCTGTTTCCCTGTGTTAGCAGGATGCATCAATCACGAGTTTTCTCATCATTGCAACCAATATCGTTTCTGGCAACTCCCTCCTCCAACCACTTATTGAAACCATTTAATGCACAGTGGTGTGGTTGATACGACAATGTCAAACTTTTATGCTGACATATCTCCTCAAACACTGTAGTACACCTTGTCCCTGATAATTTCACAACAGAGTTTCACACCTTATGGGCATTACCCCTTCAGTTGGCTAATTTTGAGGGTAGTTGTCAAATTATATATATATATATATATATATATATATTATTTGTTTAGGCTTCATAGGTGTGCTACATTGCTGGATCCTACTGTAGAGGGGACAATCCCCCCTTCTTGTATCTTTTCCTCGTCCAGTCCAACCCTCTTTTCACTCGTAACTCTTCCCCCCTAGCTAAACCTCTCGACAGTTTTCTCATGGCTACCTTGCTTAGCTCCTAACACCCTTTCAACATGGTTTCAGAGCAGGCCCTTCCGCTCGGGCCTTCTCCTCACGCTTCCGCAGCGTACTCTCCTCCCTCATGTCACTTCCGCGTCGCCGTGGCAGCCATGTCGTGCTGCCATGGCGGCTTCGTCGTGCTACCGTGGCAGCCTCGACGCGCTGCCGTGGCGTCGACACCATGCCGTGGCGTCGACACCATGCCGTGGCAGTGTCGTCATGCTGCCGTGGCGTCGTCGACGCGTCATCGCGCGGGCGGCAGCGGGCCGCGCAATATTCTAGGTGCCAGCCGTACGCCCGCACGACAGCCAGCGCGCCAGCCAGGGCGCCTCGCTGAAGCCACGCCCCCCCTCTCCCGCACCATCCCTCATTCCAGCTGCAGCTGATGATTCTCTTCCCGGTCGTCGCCGGGTCGTGCCACACCGCCGCGTGCTGCGAGCTTAGCAGACGCCGCCGCCGCCGATGCAGGTGCAGCTGGCTCCGCTGCCACCCACTCCGCCGCCGCCGCTGTCGTCGTCGTTGAAGCCGCCGCAGACGCCTTTGCTGCCACCCGCCGGGGGTGTCACCGCTTCGCACGAGGGGTAGACGCCACAGCTGCTGAAGGGCATGGGGGTGCAAGGGTTTGGGGGTGTTGCGTGCTGGGTGGGCTTTTGACTACCAAGCCTAGGGAGTGTGTCAAATTATATATTATATATTATATATATATATTTGTTTAGGCTTCGTAGGTGTGCTACATTGCTATATCCTACAGTAGAGGGGACAACCCCCCCTTCTTGTATCTCCTCCTCTTCTAGTCCAACCCTCTTTTCTCTCCTAACTCTTCCCCCCCAGCTAAACCTCTCGATAGTTTTCTCATGGCTACCTAGCTTAGCTCCTAACGCCCTTTCAACAGTAGTGTCAAACAAAAACAGAATTATCATCTCAAATGTCTTACCCAAACATGTGTGGTCTCTGTGAACCCACTCAAAGTTCCTACGGCTTTCAGCGCACTACCAGCCATTTTTTATCGAACCGACCTCTTGTCGAGAGACCCACTGAGTTTGCTCTATAAGATCCTTTGAAGGGCCACAGCAGGGCCTCAGATTGGTTTTGAGGTACCCTGATTGCTCAGGGTCCCCCTCCCCCCCCCCCCCCCCCCCATGTTTACCTTGATTTTTCAGGCCTCCAAAAAAATATCCGCGGAGTAATCAGGGTTACTTCAGAATTTCACGCTGACTTGGCGAAATTGGGAGATGGGCGGAATGACATTCGGGGAGGGCAGGGACGTGACGGAGTGAAGGGGGGAGGGGGGGAGGAGGGAGGGAGGATTCCCGCTAGAATCATGATGATTCTGAAGCCATAAATTCTTGCAGAGACACTTTCAGGAAGCCTTGGCCAATCAAATTTCGCCGATCGATCCAATCGGATAGCGGAGCAAGATTGCAGGGGCGGAAGGAGGAAATCTCACCCTCACAAAGCAGCCCCAAGGCACACATTGGGCCCTAAATTTGGCGAAGGGACAATAAGTCCTCTTACACATCCCACAATACAAGCTAGCCCTAAATTTGGCGAAGGGCCAAACAATCCTGTCACAAATCCCCCAACACACGCTAGCCCTAAATTTGGCTAAGGGCCAAGTGCCCTCACACAACCCCCCAGCACGCACACATCGAGCAGGGGAAACATGCGGTTATTATGGCACGGCCCCGTATCACGCTGTTACAGGAAACAGGGTAGGTGCCTGTTAGGCAGAGGTTACAGGGTTCACTACAATAGCAACACTGTACAAACAGAGTTCAATAATAAAAAAAAACTTTGAAATTTCAGGGCTTTGTCTCAAAAAAATCCTAGCGCATCAGGGTCGGTACCAACAAAACCTCTGAAAATACCCTGAATCAGGGAAATTTGTCTGAAATCAGAGGGCGTGGGCCACAGGCTGCTATGCCTGGGGGGTTATGGGCGCGATATCCTGCTTCTTTACAGGCCCATTTAACACAGTGGTTAGCGACTGTGCTTTCTGAGATGGTACCAGCCAGAGCCAAAGGTCTCGAATCCCAATGTGCACCAGTAGAAATGCCGAGTCCTCCGCCTACCCCAGCGAGGGGGGTTGTCGAGAGACCCACTGAGGTCGCCCTAGAAGGTCCTCGGAAGGGCCACAGACTGCTATGCTTGGGGGATTATGGGCGCGCTATCCGGCTACTTAACAAGCCCTTTTGGCACAGTGGTTAGCGGCTGTGCTTCTGAGACTTCATACTTTCAATTGTTTGCATATGGCTGATTCAATTTGGTGTAGAAACTGGGGTCTAACTTTGTATATTATAAAAACCAGAGGAATGAAAATTAACTAAGACATTGCATTGTTGAACTCTAGACTTCTGCAAGAAGTATCGCCTTGAAAAGGTAATAAAATAATTAGAAAGAAAATTAAAGAAACAAATACATGAACAAAATTGCTCACAAGTTACCCGAGAACCAATTGCAAACATGGGAGTGTTATAGGCCTCATCGGCTTGGGAAAACAAAAGAAGATGAGAGAAACTAGGTAGAGGAGGGATGCATAGCCAAGTATCGAGGGGCAGTGCAGGGCTTAATTTCATTTTGACAGAGTTTGGAATATCGGAGTGAGATCAATCCCACCCTTAAAAAAAAAAAAAAAAAAAAAAAAAAAAAAAAAAAAAAAAGATTCCTTCGAGGCGTCGACTCTTTATTTTTTCTAAGTACTATTCAGGTATTTTTCAGGTTGTGTCCAATCACATTAACCTGGTCACCTACAAGAACATTATTTTTCAGGTTGTGTCAACGGGCAACCTCTTTGTTGGGATTTTTCATTCAACGGCAAAATCGCGAGTTGGGACCCCTCTTGAAATTGTAGGGGTGGAAATCTTAGGTAACAATGTTATGCAGAGTTTAGTTGGATATGTTGCCATGAAATGTATCTCTTGTGTTGCAACAATAGTGGGGTTGAGCATCTTGGCATAGGAAAAGAAAACCCTATGGGTAAGATGGCTGTCTAGTGATTTGGCCAAGATATTAGCTAGTGCGCGCGTTCAGAGCGTGGCTCGATGAGCGCAAGCTTATTCAACGAGTAACTCTGCAGTGCTGACGTGGGCCGGGTTGATGAAATGTGCAATGGACGAACAAGTGGTAACTAGGCAAGGTCGATGGCTATGGTTGTACGCGCTAGTGCACCAGAGGCACATAACCGGTGTGATCATATGATGAATCTAGATCGGTCCACAGTACCTGAGTCATAATTTTGGTACGATATCGCAGGCTCTTGGTGCCAATCAACACCAAATCCCCATCTTGGTATGCCACAACTCTTTTGTGTCGATCCATGTTTCTTTTAGCAACCAAGTTAGCCTTCCTGATGGCCTCAACTGCTCGTTCCCGGGCTGCCTTCAGATGCTCAGCGAACATTTGCGCATGTGGTATAGTAGATTGCCGGTCGGGTGTCAGGGGCATAGCTGGATCTTGACCGTATTTCATGTAAAAGGGTGATTGGCGAGTGGTGGCTGGCGTGAATTCCATCATCATAATGAATTCCTCCCGGGTGGCCGGATCGTCGCACGTGGTAGGAATCAGCTGCTCAGGTGCTAGATTGTTCTTTCCATCTAGCCATCTATCTCGTAGTGATACGACGATGTGAACTGCATGCAGGTGTCGAAATGGTCCCAAAGTGCATGCCAAAATTTATAGGTGTGCTTAGTATCGCGATTGTTGATGATGGCACTCGGCTATCCGTGCAAGCGAACCACTGCAGCCATGGAAATCTTCGGCAGAAGTGCTCTTCATGCAGATCAAAAAATGTGCCATTTTCATCAGCCAGTCCATGACGACGAACACAGCCATTACCGTTTGAGCCAAGTGGTAACCTTGTGACAAAATTCATCGTCACCTACTGCCAAGGTCGTTCGAAGGGCAAGATTGGTTGGAATTGGCTGACGAGCTTCGTTCATGGGTTTTTCATGACTTGTTACGTATCGTCACATATCGCTCTATAGTGCAAACCATACCTGGCCATCAATAGTACTGCTGCGGCTGCTGGCATGCACTTTTTACACCTAGATGCCTCAAGGCAATCCCGTCATATGCCTCCTACATTAGCAGCTCTCGAAGATGTGAATATTCCATTACCCAGATCCAGTTTGTGCAAGATTTTTTGTAATACTGTCCTTGAGGCTGTATGTGCGGTGCGTAATCTCCTGGCGTAAATAGTCAGTCAGTAGTGTAGTCGCGAGTGAATATTCCGGTAAGTAGCGCGTTGGTTTGTGCCCGTACTATCACGCAATGGCGGGCAGTCAGGCGATTAATTGCATCCGCAATATTATTTGCGCCTTTCTTGTAGGTTGGTTGAATCTACACATTGGTTCAACTAAGAGCTGAATTTTCACATTGGTTATTGGCTCAACCAATGTGTCGACACATTGGCTCGACGATGCAACCATCTACACATTGGTTATTGGCTCTTAGTTGAATTTGCAACAGACACATTGGCTCGAGTACTTCGAGTCGAATTTCCACATTGGTTGAATCTTACGAGCCAATAGCATCCCATGAGTATGTCCATGCTGTCAAGTGTTGTAATCAGCATCTCGTGCGTAAACAATAAAAATCCCCTCCACATTTATGTCCATCCCAATGAGTTTTTGCTTCTTGCCACCCACTTAGCGCGTGTCGATCACATGAAAGCACCATTCCAATGTCAGCTGTACTTCCTTTACAGTCGCGATGTTAATTTAACTGTGCCCGACCCCGTAGTCAAAGAAAAAGTTTATGTTGTTCCGTGTAGTTTGAATATTAGCAGTAC